GAATGTGGTGTCTGCGTGGAGTTGTCAGTAACGAAGTTGGTACTTCCTTTTGCTATATGTAGGTGGCGCTTTGCCGAGTTTCAGTACCTGCAGCCGGGACCCCCCCGGCGGCTCCAGACAGTGGTGGTGTACCTGCCGGACGTCTGGACCATCATGCCTACTTTGGAGGAGTGGGAGGCCCTGTGCCAGCAGAAAGCTGCAGAGGCAGCTCCTTCGACCCAGGAGGTACTAGGGGTAAGGCTGTGCCTTAGCCAGCAGCGGGAGATATAGGTGGCCTGATCCTGGGACCCAGAGGGTCTCATCTTGGCTATTGTCACAGGAAATGGAGCCTACTGAACAGGCACCGGACACCTTGGAGCAAGCAGCAGACACTTCTAGACGGAATGCAGAAACTTCAGAGGCCAGCACACAGCAGGAAACGGACACTGATCTCCCAGAGGCCCCTCCACCCCCGCTAGAACCTGCTGTCATTGCACGCCCTGGCTGTGTGAACCTGTCCCTCCATGGGATTGTGGAGGATCGGAGGCCAAAAGAAAGGATCTCTTTTGAGGCAGGTGTCAGAGTCTTGGGGAGGCTATGGGCTGGGATCTGTGGGCCTTGAACAGTCTTTCTTCCTGATGCTCATGGACCGTGCCACCTCCCCGTCAGGTGATGGTGCTGGCTGAGCTGTTTCTGGAGATGCTCCAGAGGGATTTTGGCTATAGGGTTTATAAGATGCTGCTGAGCCTTCCTGAAAAGGTCGTGTCCCCACCTGAACCTGAGAAGGAGGAGGCGGCCAAGGAGGAAGCCACCAAGGAGGAAGAAGCCATCAAAGAGGAGGTGGTCAAGGAGCCCAAGGATGAGGCACAGAATGAGGGCCCGGCTGCCGAGTCAGAGCCCCCACTGGTGAGTACCCTGCCACCTCAGGCTGTCGTAGTGCTTACCATGACCATGCATCTTCACCCTGGGCTCTGAGTGCTTCCTGTGCCCTAGCTCATTCCCCACTCCCTTGCTCAGCACGCACTGAGGCCGCACAGCTAGTAAGTGGCACACCTAGTGGAAGGGAAGGTGGCGCAGAGGAGTGCAGGGAGCATGGCTGAGGAGCCTGACAGCATAGAAACCCCAGTCACTGAGAATCCTTAGCAGAGTGGGGTGCTTTGATTGTCTGATGGTTAACTAGAAAATATTGTAGGCGGGGTGTAATCCCAGCACTTTGGGAGGCCAAGGCAGGCAGATCACGAGGTCAGGAGTTTGAGACCAGCCTGGCCAATATGGTAAAACCCTGTATCTACTAAAAATACAGAAATTAGCTGGGCGTGGTGGTGCATGTCTGTATTCTTAGCTACTCAGGAGGCTGAGGCAGGAGAATCCTTGAACCAAGGGAGGTGGAGGTTGCAGTGAGCCGAGGTCGTGCCACTGCACTCCGCCCTGGGTGAGAGAGCAAGACTCTCTTGAAAAAAAGTAAACAATAAAATTTGTAAACCTTTTCTAAAATACTAGTCTTTTTTTTTTCTTTGAGATGGAGTCTTGCTCTGTCACCCAGGCTGGAGTGCAGTGGCGCAACCTCGGCTCACTGCAACCTCTGCCTCCCAGGTTCAAGCGGTTCTCCTGCCTCAGCCTCTTGAGTAGCCGAGATCATAGGCACCCACCACCATGCCTGGCTAAGTTTTGTATTTTTGTAGAGATGGGGTTTCACCATGTTGGCCTGGCTGGTCTTGAACTCCTGACCTCAGGAGTGCTGGGATTACAGGCGTGAGCCACCGTGCCCAGCTGTTTTTTGTTTAAATACTATCAAATAAATGTAATTTCTTGTGGGACCAAGATCAACTCCTGAGGGAAAAAGCCCAGGTGTCTGGTGATGCCCTGGTATGCTCTGAATTCCACTTAATGAAATTAAATACATGAAATGAGGTGGTGTCTAGAGCCCTCCATACAGTGCCTGGGGCATACTTATTACTCAGGTGTCAGCCATGATTACTATTGGTAATTACGGTAACTGCCTTCCTTCTAATCACCTTCGTCTGCCTCCCTAGAAGGAGGATGGGCTTTTGCCCAAACCACCCTCTTCTGGGGGAGAGGAAGAAGAAAAACCCCGGGGCGAGGCTTCCGAGGACCTGTGTGAGATGGCCCTGGACCCAGAACTGTTGCTTCTGAGGGATGATGGAGAGGAGGAGTTTGGTATGTTGAGTGGTGAGAGGGGAGCTCGCAGGCTCGGGATGTGGCTTTCCACCTGTGGCCAAGCTGGTTTTAATTTTTGGACTGTGGAGCTGGATGGGCCCTGCTCTCCATTTATTTTGGGCTTTCTGTAGCAGGAGCAAAGCTGGAGGATTCGGAGGTCCGGTCCGTTGCCTCAAACCAGTCAGAGATGGAATTCTCTTCACTTCAGGACATGGTGAGGCCTCTTCTCCACCTCTCTGGGCCTTAGTGGTGGTGAGGCTTGGCAAGGCCTTCGGCACACTCCTGGGAGAAGGATACTTACCAGTGATTTCCTTTCTTGATGGACCCAACACACAGTGTGGTCCTTGGCTCATGGAAGGACACGTTCATAGGCTCCAGGAGAACATTTCAGTGTCTGTCAGGGTGAATGGGAGAGAGGTATTTGATCCTCTCCTGAGAGAGGAGCACAGGAGCTTTTGTGAAAGTGCCCCAGAGAGGAAGGCTGGCTTGGGTGTGATGAACATCAGCCAGGCTGCTTGATGTTTTGTGTTTTAGAGACGGGGTCTCGCTATGTTGCCCAGGCTGGAGCACAGTGGTTGACAGGCATGAGCATAGTGCACCGCAGCTTCGAACTCCTGGGTTCAAGTGATTCTCCTGCCTTAGCCTCCCCAGTAGCAGAGACTTTAGGCATGCATTACTGCATGTGGCCCGAGCCACTGGATTCTGAACAGGCTGAATCCTGGGCGATAGAGCCACTGAGGGAACTATTTGAAAATCCTGCTCATCTTTGTTTTCTTTGCAGCCCAAGGAGCTGGATCCCTCTGCTGTGCTCCCCTTGGACTGTCTGCTTGCTTTTGTGTTCTTTGATGCCAACTGGTGTGGCTACTTGCACCGGCGAGACTTGGAGAGGATCCTCCTTACCCTTGGGATCCGGCTTAGTGCAGAGCAGGTACCTTCTTTCTTCTGCCTCAGCACATGGGCACAGGCCTGCACTTACTCCTGCTCCAGGTTCCTGCCCATGGCCAGGGTCGGGGACTGGGCCTTCTGGTCAGCAGGTGTCTGGGGGTGTGTTTTCTGCAGGCCAAGCAGCTGGTCAGCAGGGTGGTGACCCAGAACATCTGCCAGTACCGGAGCCTTCAGTATAGCCGCCAGGAGGGCCTGGATGGTGGCCTTCCCGAGGAGGTGCTCTTTGGTATGTCCTGAGCCCTGCAGCCTTCCTGGGCACGGGTAGGGCAGGCTGCCCTCTCCGGAGACCCCATCCTGCAATCTTTTTCATGGTTCCCTCTAGGAAACCTGGACCTGCTGCCCCCTTCTGGGAAGAGCACGAAGCCAGGTGCCGCCCCTACGGAACACAAAGCCTTGGTGTCCCACAATGGCAGCCTGATCAACGTGGGGAGCCTGCTGCAGCGCGCGGAACAGCAGGACAGCGGCCGGCTCTACCTAGAGAACAAGATCCACACACTGGAGCTGAAGCTGGGTGAGGGCCTGGGGCTGCATCCACCACGGGGGCATGTGCAGACCAGTAGGGAACCCGTTGCTTAGGCTCAGGCCCTGCCCTATGCTCTGGGCCTTGATGGAGCAGCCGTCCCTCTGTTTCCTCCTCCACCTCGCAGAGGAGAGCCATAACCGTTTCTCAGCCACTGAAGTAACGAATAAGACGCTGGCGGCAGAGATGCAGGAGCTGCGAGCCCGGCTGGCGGAGGCTGAGGAGACCGCTCGGATGGCGGAGCGACAGAAGAGCCAGCTCCAGCGGCTGCTGCAGGAGCTCCGCAGGCGCCTGACCCCCCTGCAGCTGGAGATCCAGCGGGTGGTGGAAAAGGTAAGGTGGGAGTGGACCAGGAGGCAGCACAGCTCCTTTCCCTGAGCTCCAGAAACCCCTGGAAGGGTGCTTGCCCCTATGTCCGGAGTGACCAGAGGGCCAGCAGGCACCAGCTTCTTCCTTCCGTCGCTTGCCAGGCTGTGTGCCCCTGGTTGCAGGTTCTCTGGGAATTGAGCAGTCAGCAGTGTGCAGCGGGAGCTTCCCAGCAGGAGACAGTCCGCAGTCCTCAGATCGCCTTGCCAGGCCTGATTCTGGGTACATGTTTCAAACAGGCTGACAGCTGGGTGGAGAAAGAGGAGCCGGCACCTAGCAACTGACGGCCTCACACAGAACTGCCATCCTGTGAGGGCAGCGGTGGCGCTCGGCAAAGTTGGAGCCCTTGCGGTACCAGAAAGCAGCGGGAGCGAGACCTGGGAGCCAGGGCAGGGGTGGCTGACCCCATGCTCAGCCTCTAGGGGACGGCAGGCCATCAGGCTGGGGGCTGTGCTATATGGGATGGATGTGTGAGGAACCCCGGTTCCAGTTAACAACTAAATACAACATCTTTTGCACCCCTAGAATGTCATATTGCCCTCAACCTTGGTATTTCTCCTGGGGCCCTTTTAGTCTTGTGCTGACTTTCTCCTGTCCTTTTCCAGTTTAGAATAAGACAGGGGAGAAAAAGGCTTTTCAAGTGTGTGACAAGGTCTGATGTCAGTGAACTGAACTGAAGAGACAGACGTGGAGCCTGGCTGGGGCTAAGCAACCCCTCCTCCGGATGGCACAGGCTCTGCTAGGTTCCAGATGCAGGCTCCTGGGGGAAGGGTCTCCCTTGGCCATCACGGGAATGGAGTCCATGCTAGAAAGTGCTCAGTGTTGGGCTGGGTTTGCCAATAGAACACTGTGTTCCAGTCACCCCAGATTTGCCAGAAGAAACCAGCACCTCTTTCCCGTGGCTCCTGTGTTCAGAATGTGGTATTGGCTCTGGCCCAGCCTTCTCCCCTGTTACCCATAATTCTTGCCTCTTTCCATAATCCGTGGTTTCAGTTTGACTTTGTATATAAAGTTGGTTTTTTTTTTTTTTTTTTGGCTTGTTTTTTAAATAAACCAAAGTCAAAAACAAACCGAGCGTGTCCTCCACAGCTCTTCCTACTCCTCTCCTAGGCTTGCGTGCGTGCCCTTCCACCCAGCATCTCTGCTGGACCACGGTGCAGTTCACTCCAAAAGGTGGGGCAGGGCCGGGGAGGCACACACAGACCCCTGCGTGCTGGGCTGCCTGCTGGAGGGTGCTGCTGTGCAGCGGAGGGCAGCAGGCCCTGGAAGAGAATTTCCCCTGCTCGCCCTAAGTTATAACAATACCATGTGCACATTTCATTGAAAACTTTACTTGAAAAAATAAAATTCCAAATACTCAGGTGAGACACAAACCCACTGTTTTGCTTTGAGACCTGCGAATTCTTGTGGGACATTCTGTGTGGTGGGACAGTTCCACTGACAGTTTGAGGTCCCGAGGTAACAGTTCTCAGTGACCTCGGGAACCCCAATGACTTGGGTCCCAAAGTCACGAGGGTAGCTTTTGTCTTGCTGGGAAGCTGGCTGAGGGCCTGCCAGGGTGGAGGAACAGCTCTCCTGGGCAGGGTTCAGGGCCTCTCCCAGAAAAAAGAGGCTTTTAAGTGAAAAGGCAACGAGGGGCCAGAGGGCTCCCCAGGATGGGTCTTTTGGAGGTAGATTTGATGCCCACAATGCATGCAGGGCTAAGACCCCCAACTGAGCCGACAAAGCCCATGGCTTCAGAAGGGCTGCAGCTTGCTCAGGCCATGGGCCAGGATGCATGCTGGACGGTTTTCCAAATAAAAAAGCCCCAAGGGTTTGTCTACACTGCTTACCTGCTGGGGCTGTGAGTGGGGAGATGGCGGCCTGTCTAGGGATCCTGGTGCCAGGCTCAGGAAGAGTCACTCATTGCAAAGGGCCGGCAAGTGAACCAGGGCCACCTCTGTCCCCAGCCTGTGAGAGGAGCAGTTAGCCCTGAGAAGGGCAAGGACGAGCGAGGCTGACCGTGTCACAGGAGTCGTCCAAGAGTGACGGGGATTCAGTCATCGGCCACAATGGAGAGGGCCCGGAGCTCACTGAGTTTGGCCTCGTTCTCCCGCTCCCGCTGCTCATCGGAGTGGCCTGGCTGGTCAAGCTGCTGGGTCAGGTCTCCAAAGATCTTGTGCATTTCCGAGTAGTACACAACCTGGGGGAGGCGGCGGGTTGGCACATGCTGGCTCCAGGAAACCATGTGCTTCAGAGGGTGAGAGGCTCACACTCCTCTGCTACCCCCTGCCCTCACCCCTCTGGAGCTGTGTAGCAGTGTGCCTTTGGGAATGTGCAGGGCATGGAAAGGCTCTAGCTAAGACTGAACCAAAAGGAGCCGGGGAGCAACAGGGCCTCAGTGGCTGCAGGTGGAGGTGCCCCTGCTTTGGGCGACTGGTTTCCCCAGCAGCAGGTGCAGGAAGGCATGGGCCTCCTAGGGCAACTGTGGGATGTTGGGCACCATGACGAGTTTTACTGCTTTTTGTAAGCTAGGGGAGAACCCACGGCTTTTGTCCATGGCAGAAAGAGGGTATGGTAGACTGGTGGCTCCCAAAGCCCTAAGCCAGCTTTAGAAGCACAGGCGAGAAAGGGGATGCCCGTCTAGCCTTCCATTCCCTCCCAACTTGCATCCCACCCTTGCTCATGGCCCAAGCTGTGTGGCCAAGGGGACAGCTCAGAGGCCAGGTTCACTCCCTCTAGGGAGGCACCAGAACCGGGGTGGGAAGGGACACAGGGACGAGGGTGGGGCAGGTGGAGGAATGGGGAGGCCTGTCAGTTCTCACAAGGGCTTTTCCACAGACAACAGGGGCCACTTCTGCCTCAGTTTCTATCTCATGACCCAATGAACACATGCAGTTTCCTGAAAGCTTCCACACTTTGCACTCTAGACACAAGGAGGAGCTCTAGACACTAAGGGGACCTTGTGGGAAATGCCAGGTGGGGCAGGGACCCACGGCTGACACTTCTGAGGCGAGATTTCTGCTGGCCGACGGGGAGCTAAAGTGAGCTGGTCTCAACACTGCTGTCACCTCTGGGCTGGGGGTGGGCTGCCCTACCCGCCGCTCCCTGCCCAAGCCACTGCGCACTGAGTCACCGGGGATGCTCACTTCTCCATGACTAATGGCAGCCGGGCGGGCGAGGAGGAGGCTGGGGCCCAGGAGGCAGTCAACAGCCCCCAGCAATGCTGCCTGGTTACAGGGCATCCCTGGCCTCCCATCTGCTCCAACCTGGGCATGCGGGAGCCTGGCACCCTGTGGCTTCCTCCTGTGAGCAACAGGAGGGAGGGTGTAGGGCAGCACCTAGGTGACAGTAAGGAAGGGGCAGGGCCAGGTCTCCCGTGAACCCAATGGGGCGGCTGAAGGGAGCCCTCACTGCAGCAGCAAGTGTCGGGAGAAGTCCCCACCCCTCCTGCATAAGGCTCTAGGTCTCATGCTGCCTACAGATGGCACAGGCCCAAGTACGTGGGTCACTGACAAGGCCCAGCCCTAGCATGAACCCTGCTCAGGCGTCCTGATTGGGGTGGGTGGCCACCCTGACTTTGGCCCGGCAGGGTGGGTGTGCGGGCCAGGGCTTCGTGGCTGTGACTGCGGGGCCTGCAGGGAACGGCCACTGGAGGGCGCCAAATGCCCACCCAGGTGGCGCAGAGTCTGCGGCTCAGGGACCTGGTGCAGATGGCTGCTAAGGGTGTTGGGGTACTGAGGCTGTCGCTGAGTGCGAGCCATCAACAGGGTCCTGTGTGGAAGGGACCCGCTTCTGGCATGGGTGCCCACCCTTTTCTATTTTGCCAGTTGGGGGAACAATCCTTGCTAAAGGCTTGAAGATGGAGGAGGGTGAGGGGCGTGGGAGCCACAGGTGCTGCCACTCCGTGTCCTCCCATCCCCGAGTGGAAGGGGACACTGGGGCCTGGCCTGTGTCTGACCCCCAGTGGCGCCTCCATGCCTCCAGGCCTGCCTTTCCACCCCAGGGCCCTAGCAGCAGCCCTGAGTGTGGCTCTCCCCAGGGCTCTGGCACCCCTTCCCTAGTGGCTCCAAGGCAGGACTCCTGCCGTTTCCTGCTAAAAAGAAGACTGGCTCAGGGTGGGTAGGGGAGGGGAGCTGAGTCCTCAGAATAGGCCTCCACTCTCCAGATCCCTTTCTCCTCAGCATCACCCCGGGTCAAGAACCTGCACACCTGAGGGTGCGGGGCAGAGGGGCTACTTAGAGTGAAATGCAGAGAGATCCAGGGAGGAACTGCCGGACAAAAGGGAATCTCGGCCATGCCTGCTCTGGGATTCACCAGAGCAACGTGAGGACTCTAGCAGCAGACAGGGCTCCCAAGTTGCCGAGCCAGGGACTCTGGTACTGGAATGAATTCCTTCGGGGCCGTGCCTGGGGTGGGTGCCCTGTCTTTGTGGAGAATGGCTAAGCCACCCTTCCAGCGTGGGTAACAGGGAGTGGCATGAGCTATGTCCACCCAGGGGAAGAGCGCCTGGGCCTCACCTGTGCTCGGATGAGGGACTCAAAGCTGGGCTGGAAGTAGTCAAGGCGGCTGCCGTAGAAGCGCGGCATCTCCTCCAGCAGCTGCCTGTTCTTGGCCTCGAAGTCCTCCCGCACAGGCCGCAGCTCCTCTCGCGCCTGGGGAACAAGGCCCTGGCTGTCAAAGCTCTGTCTCATGCTGGGTGTGGGATATGGGATGGGTGGCGTGGGGACGGCTAGTGTCTTGGTCCTGGTGTCCCCAGGTGAAGGGAGGGACTTACCACAGGTGACCACAATGGCCCATCTGTCCAGCCCCTGCCTGCCTGTCTCCCCTGGTACCTGGTGGAGCTTGGCCAGCACTGGCCCCGTCTTCTCCTTTTCCTCATACTTCTCCACCTTGGCCTGCAGCCTCCTGTAGTCCTGCAAGGCCTGTTCCCGCCGCTTCACCGCCATGTTGAGGCTCGGGAAGACGCTGCCGAACCTGTGGGACAAGCTGGCTGGAGATGGGCCCGCTCTTGGAGGGGCAGCCTAGTCAGCACTCACTTTTCCATAAATGTGCCCTGAGCACCTACTAAGTGCCAGACCCTGCTCTAGGTCTTGGGGAGTTCACCGTGAACAAGACAGATGAGGCCCTGTGCCCCGGAGCTTGTGCGAAAGCAGACAATGTCGTGGGGTGAGGGCAGATGAGAGGCGGCGGGGCTGTGGGCCAGGTCCCGGGAGTCCGGCAGCACAGGGTGGCCCAGGAATGAAAGGTGCCCTGACCTCCACCTCCTGTGAGTTTTATCACACAATGGACTAGAGAATTGTGGGGAAGGTGCCTTGAAGTCATCTGGCCAAGACCTCACTTTTAAAAAGGAGGGAAACTGAGGACAGAGAGATGACCTATGACTCAGCCAAGGTCACCACTGGGCAGAGAAGGTCTAGAAGACAACACAGGTGTCCATGTTCTCTGTCTGGCACCCTTTCCAGCCCTCACAGTGCCACTGGCAGGTGGCAGAACTGAAATCTGAACTCAGTCCTGGCCCAGGGCATCTTCTCCTTCAAGGGCTCCTTGGCAACACGAAAGCAGCAGAAATCCTATGGTTCTGCCACTGGAACAGCCAAAGTGTCAACCAGCTGCTTCAGGAAAATGGCCCGAGGACCTCCTACTACCCCACCGTGACTAGAGGACCGCATGGGAGACTCAGAAGAGGGGCCCCAGAGAGAGCAGCAGTGGATGTTGTGGTGCTGCAGGTCCACACGGGCCTCATCTTTGTGACCCATGTGGCCTCTAGTGACCAGAGCAGTGCTCTCCTAAGGCTCTCGCTGCTGCTGCTGCTAGAGGGCTGGCCCTTGGCACGATGGCAGGGGGCGTCTACCAGGCAAGCCAGAGACCCTGAGTGCCCGGGATCTGGCTGTGCAGCCCAGGGAGCTTGTGACTCTGTGGCCATGCGGAGGTGACCCAGGACCAGAAGAGTTGGTTCCTCCTGGAGGTTTTTATGGGAACCCAGAGAGGAGGAAAGACGAGGGAGGGCAGGAGGCAGTCACTGAAGCTTGGGTCAGCCTCTCACAGGCGCTCAGAGACTCACTGTCAGGTTCCAGGAGCTCAGGCACCACACAGAGCAGGACTTCCCAGATCTGCCTCTCAAAGGGCATGACCAAGAATCTGGTTTACAGACAGAGTCTTGCTCTCTCACCCAGGCTGGAGTGCAGTGGTGTGATCTCTGCTCACTGCAGCCTCTGCCTCCCGGGTTCCAGTGATTCTCATGCCTCAGCCTCCCAAGGAGCTGGGATTACAGGCGTGCGCCACTACGCCCAGCTAATTTTTGTATTTTTAGGAGAGACAGGGTTTCACCATGTTGGCCAGGCTGGTCTTCAACTCCTGACCTTGAGTGATCCACCCGCCTCGGCCTCCCAAAGTGCTAGGATTACAGGCATAAGCCATCGCGGACGGCCTGGTTTTAAAAAGCCTCACAAATCAGGTGTCCATTTGAGGTAACAGTTTTGCCAGAGAATAAGTGGATATAAACTTTACCAAAGCATTAAATGCCCCAAACTAAGTCACAGACCCAGGGGCAGATTTTGATGAAACAAAGGGCTTATCCCCAAGACAGGCTACTAACATGAATCCTCTACCTCAACAGTGTCCGTAACTAACTCCCTGTCTAACAAGGTGCTAAGTGGGTGAAGCCACCAAAGCCCCCTGAATCCTCACCCGTGCCCTTAGACAGTAATCAAACCAGCATCTGACCAACTTGCTGGGCAGAAGCCATGGGCCTCCCAGCACTGTGCAGAGAACGCAGGCCCCTCAGCACTACGGAACTGGGGGGTGGGAAGCAGACACCACCAGGACGCATGGTCACCCATGGCGTGGGCTGGAGTGAGACCGCTGGGAGGAGCTAGGCTTGATGCTTTTGCCCAGGGCAGCTGCGTGGTGGAGCTGCAGCTGCTGGGGAGCCCCGCCCCCTTCCTGGGCAGCTGAGAGGCACGTGCTCTGGCAGCAGGTGCAGCTGGGCCTGAGAGGATACCAGGCCACCTCTCCCACCACCCCAAATGGCCAAGGGACCACCGGCAGCCACCCCGGTCCTCGCCCTATCCTTGTGTTAGAAGCCACCTGCTGCTTGGATGGTCCCAGTGCCTGGGCCTTGTGGGTGCCTGGGAGCTGCCGGGTGGGTGCAGGCACTGGGACAGGGCATGGATGAGAGGCAGGCAGGAGGCAGCAGGTGGAGAGCTCTCTGGCTCTGGCCTCAATCCCACCACCCTGAGCTCACATCCTCAGGAAGGAGGGCATCACAGTGTCAAGCCATGTGTGCGCAAGGCGCCTTCCACAGCGCGGGATGGGAGGAGCCGCATGCTCGTTGCTCCAGCAGCCTGACCCCCCACATCCCCTGCGGCACTCTCATAGCCTCCTTCCCACAGCTGTCGGCTGGGGCTTCTTGTTTCCTGGGCCAGAGTCAGAGCCACCAGGAGCACTGACTACAGGGGAGTGCCGAGCAGGGGTGGGGGAGGCTGGGTTACAGAGCTCCTCGGGGGATGGGGTGGTGGTATCTCCAGGTAGCTACCTGGCTGCATGGGTTCCTGCCAGCCCCCTGTAACCAAGACCACCTGCCTCTGCAGGAGACGTGGCTGCAGTTCACCTGCATTGTCCGCTTTCGCACAAGCTCCAGGGGACAGGGCCTCATCTGTCTTGTTCCTACCCCTGTGGGAAGAGCACGTCTTCACCGTGAAAACCTGTTTCCCATGACAGCACCCCTCAGTCACCAAGAGGCTCTGCCTGCTCAGGCCAGTGGAGGTGACTGCTGATAAATTACCACTGCGGTGGGGGGGAGGTTGGGTCCTGGGATTGGGATTCCCTAGGGGTAGGGACAAGTGTCACACCCTTCTACATTCAGGGGGACTCACATCAGTCAGGGCAGGGCGCAGCTTGTGCCGAGGTGGCTGAAGAGTGGGGGACCAGGACTCTGTCACATCTGCCCTGGTCACCGACCCATTGAGGCCCCATCTCCCTGTTTTCTACTTCTTAGCAACAGAACAGACTTTGCCAAAGCCTCGGGGTGGACAGTGGACGTGCGATGGTGCTGTGTGGGACCTCAGGTCAGGGCTCAGGGTGCTGGCAGGGGAAGTGGAGACATGCACAGGCTGGGCCCCTGTGGCAGCCCCTCCCAGATATGCCCCTGGGACCCCACAGAGGCCCTGCTGACTCTACCCAACCACATTGGGGGCGGGGGGGCCTCTCCCCAGGCGTGAAGCCAGGACCCAGGCTCCACTCTGCTGTCCTAGCGCACTTCACCCCTCCTCTCTCCCTGCCCACCTCAGCCCACCAAAACCTCTCCCGCTCCTAGGCGCTGACTGTCCCATTCTGAGAAGTCAGTTTGGCTCTCTCCTTCCACATGTGAGGAAACAGCCTCTGAGGCCTGCTGGGGCAGGTGCGACAGCCCACTCAGCACGCCCCGCTCCATGGTCCTGCGCCACGCCTGGCCGCTGACCCGAGAACACGCCGTGGCTTTCCACTAGACTGTAAGCTACTGAAGTCTGTTTTACATTTATCCTCAAAGAAGGGGGCCAGGCTAGGCCCAGGCCAGTGATCAAAGAATTACCCATGATCACTGCCCAATTCTTGTCTGTCCTAAGGCTCAATATCAAACTCACTCCCCTGGGGATGGGAGGGGCGAAGAGGAGCAGGAGAGGGAAAGGGAGCGAGGCCGGCTGGGAGGTGGGCTGGGCGCAGCCAGCACTGGTGGGGAATGCCTGCCATGCCTTGGTCTGTACCCACGCAGCCAGGAGCTTCCACCCACCAGGAAAGGGAAATTGAAAGCATCCCCATCCGACATGTGAATGCGGCCCAGAGACTGGGGATTAGAGGCCGAGCCCCTGCAGGGAGGCCGGGGGCGGTGGGGTGGCCATGTGGCCATGATCTTCATCAGAGGACAGGAAAGCTGGAGTTTCCTGTTTCCGGTGCTGGGGTCCCTGGGAGCTTCTCTTCTGGCAAGAGGAAGCCAATGGGAGGAGGCTGTAGGCTGTGCAGTTTTATGTGGTTGGGGGAGATCATATGTCAGCTGTGGGGACGCAGGGAGAAGCCAGCCAGGCAGGCCTGAGGGCTCATGCAGAGGTCAGCGGATCTGCTGCGGAGATGTGCGCCCCCTCTGCCACGCCCCCACCTTCCTGGCAGGTGGTGGGCCACCAGAGTGGTGGGAAGTGGCTGGGGTTTCTCTCCATTTGGGCTTCAAAAGCCAGGAATCAGATTTCAAGGGCGCCTTGTTGATACTGAAATTGAGGTGGGAGTCAGTTCCCCAGTTCTCTGAGTCCCTGCCTCACTCTGCCAGCCATGGGTGCCTGTAGCAGCCTCTGTGTCCGTCTCTGGGACCCGTGTGGCCCTGGCACAGAAGAGCCCTCTGTGGGCAGGGTCTGCTCAGCCTGCGTCCTTCCCAACCAGCCCTGAACAGTCTATCCTGAAGCCGAGGACCAAAACCCACAGCCACGGAGCTCTCTCTGCACCCCAGCTCCCTATGCAACCCTGTGGCTTGGGGCTGCACCGTTACCAGTAGGCAGGGGGTGGTGGATGCCCACTCTGGGGAGGCTGGGGGGCCAGGGCCGGAGCGGGAGGCACAGTCCCTTCCCTCCCTGCCTTCTCTGAGCCTCCATGGTCCTGGTGTAGAAACAAGAGCTTGCTAGGGTCTGGGGGCCTTTTCTTAACCCTAAACTTCAGGTCTGCACAGTCAACGAACAGCTCAGCAATCCCAAACACCAGGGGCTGCAGGATCAAAAACTGCTCCCCTCATTGCCCTCTGGGCCCTGGGCCAGGCCAGTGATAATTAGGCAGAGCCTCATGACCCGGCCCTGGCAAGTCACTGCCCGGGACCACCGCAGAAGAGGCAACAAAGTGCAGCTGGGCGAGCACGAGCTTTCTAGGTCACAGCCTGCTCGTGAGAGGCCAGGGAAGATGAAGTGATTCCGGGCTTCAAGGCACGGCTCTGCCTGTTCCCCGCCCTGGGGACCGAGGGAATAGGCCTGTCTGATCGCTGACCAGGGCCTGCCCAACAGAAGATGAGTCTCACAGAAGCATTCCTGACCCCAACAGGTCACAAGCTAGGGGACCTTCCCGGGCCAGACCCCGCTGCCGCGCCCCTCCCCGTGTGCGGCCACCCCCACATTTCCAAAGCTGAGTGCTGCAGGCAGCTGCTCTCCCAATCCAGCGGGGCAAGATGAAAGGCCTTGCTCATGTCCACTGAGGGCTGGCCAAGATCTCTGCTAGCTCCATTCAGCAAGCCCCGGCCCAGTGGCTCTCAATCAGGAGGAAGCGGTCAAATGACCACCAGAGCAGCGGCGGTTGCTGGGTGGGGTGGGGGGGGCGGTGGCAGGGGTACCCTGAGCTCACCTGGGCCATGCGGGTGCTCTGGAGCCCCCAGGAGCATGGATGCTTAGGCCACAGGTCACAGAGCTGACGTCCCCACTCAGTTTCCCGTCAGGCCCCATGGGAATCTGGGGACAGGCAGCTAGAAATCCTGTTCAGTTCCCAAGTGGTTGTTGACCTGCCTCTCCCATAAGTGCCCCGAGGCTCCCAGGTGACATTTACTCACTTTTTTAAGGGCTCGATCACAGTCTTTTGGATCTGGTTCACCTGTCAAAGAAAAACCCAAAGACATTAAAACTGGTAGGGAGGGGAGGACGACAGGCAAGGCAGGGCCCCTAACTACCGCTGGGCTAGAAAGTCTGAAGGGCCACGGGGTGCTGTCCTTGTCCTGGGCCTGGCCTTGCTCAGGGTGGATGGCCGGGTGGGTGGCCACAGAAGGCTCAGGGGCTGGGGCGAACAGGACTGCCGTCGGTGACCCGAGCTTGTGGAGCCTCAGGAATCAGGTAGAGCCGAGGCAGACCAGTCTGGAAAGAGCCCTGTGGGCTTGCAGCACATTGCAGCACACGAGGCCAGAGGGCTTAGAACCCCGAGGGCAGACGGAACGCACTCGGGCCTCCCTGCACAGTCCACCCAGAGGCCCACACCGGGGGTGGAAGTCATGTTTGCCCACCCCAGACCAAGACCTAGTCACCTTTTCCTGGTTGAAGGCGTCCATTCGCTTCATGGCCGTGTCCAGGGCTGTCACCATGCTCAGAAGGTCCTGGTCTTGCTCGCAGAGGGGGTTGGAGAGTAAGTCCAAGGATATCTTCACGGCAGATTTTGACATGGCTGTGAGAAGCCAAAGCTCAGTGAGCCTTCTATGAAGGGGCAGGTTTCACGGCCTTCTCTCTAGGACCACGTCCTCCTATGCCAGGGGCCTGCACCCTGAAGACCTCTTCCCACAGCCACGGCCATCAGAATGGCGAAGTACCACACAGCTACAAGCTGCTGATCCCCATGCTTTAATACTCATTCCCGACCCTAACACTGCTCTCGACAATTCTTTTGAGCAGCTTTACCTGTTCTCCAAACCCTGGGTTAGAAAAGGACCATCTGGGTGGGAGGCTATAAAATATGTTTCTGGCTCCGAAGATTCTAATTCAGTAAACTTGATACCCAACAATATGCATTTAAAACCACCTCTCCAGGTGGTTTGGATGTGACACTTGGTTTGGGACTCCCAGAGGGACAAGAATAACAGTATTCCAGTTTACACATGCTTTTACTACAAAGGGCCCAATAGTAAATATTTCAGGCTTTGAGGGCCGCACGATTTCTGTTGCAACTTCTCAACTCTGCCGTGTGCTGTGAAAACTGCCAGCGACGGCACATAAAAAATGGATGTGGCTGTTTCAATAAAACTTTATTGACAAAACTGGGTCAGATTAGGCCAGCAGCTGTAGCTTGTCAACCCCTGGTTTCCTCGACATCCAGTAGGAAGAGATACACTGGAAACTGTGTTTTCCCCTGAGACTCACCCAGACACACTGCAGCTGGTACAGGCGGCACTGGGACAGCAGGGCCCTCCTTCAGGGTGTCCTGCTCCTCCAGAATTTTGTTTGTAAATAATGGAAACCTGGGAACTTATACGGGACAAAGAGCTCCAAAGCTGCCAGCAGGTCCCCATCTTGGGGTTCTACCACTACTAAATAAAGAGTCCCAAGCACTCTCATTTAGGGCTCAAACAACCCAGGGGATGTCTAGCGGAAATGTATTTTGGTTCCATTTTAGAGAGGAGGCAGATCAGGCGCAAAAGGGTTCGTAATGCCTCCAAGGTCAAATGGCTGAACATGCCAGCTGGGCCCTGACCCTTGACCCTGGGCAGCTGCTTCCCTGTTCACTGCTCTCCTTATGGTGATCTGGCCTGGAGGAAGCCAGTGGACAGGTCTATCAAGCTCTGTCCATCAGGCATCCACTGATGTTTTTCAAGGCACCCTGGTACCCGATCCCCACGAATGTGCCACCCACCCCTCTGTGCTCCTCCCTCCTCTGTTGACATTCCCTGCTGGGCAGATGGGAAGCCTGGGAGTCACAGGCGGCTCAGAGGCGGGCTGGAGACCTGCTGGCAGCTTCGGAGCTCCTGGTCCTGAACATGTTTTCAGGCCTCCATTATTTCTAGATTCTAGAAACAAAATTCTAGAGGGGCAGGAGGCGGGCCTGGAGAAGGGCCATGCTGGCCTGATGCTGTCTGTACCAGTGTCAGAGTGCGTCTGGGGCAGGTCTCAGGGGAGAAGACACATTGCAAATGCATTTCTTACCATATGCATGTTACTGAATTTAAGATGCTCTTCATCGTAAGTCATTTATTGTATAAACTACTAAGAGAGAAAAAACTGTTGTCAATCAAACCAGGCTACACTTTCAGTCCTTTCATTTCAGAGACATTAACTGTGGAAAAAGTGTCTTAGGACCCATGACATTAGGTCCGCCTCCCAGTTAATTACAGATGTGGCCTCGCCTAGCACTCCATGGTATGAATCCGACCCCTGACCTTGGGCTCCCCAGGGAAGGGTCTGCCTCCTCCAGGCCCCTTCACCAGCCAGCAAAACAGTGCTGAGCGGACTGGCCGGCCAGGAGCATCCTCCTGGGGGTTTTCTGGAATCTGGGAGAGTGCTACAGTCACCCAGCAAAAGGGCAAACTGTGGGAGAAGGCTGGAAATGTAAACTTTCCAGAAATGTTGAAGCAACGGAGGGAAAAACACCTCTTAAATTCTGTGGAGTGACCCTGTAGGTTTAGGAACAAATGTTATGTGTAACTTGATTTATGAAACGATCACATACAGCATAATAAAAAGATAATAAACTTCTAGATAAAGCTGGAAATGTTTCTAAAAAATATCTTCTGCTATTTCTTAAAAAAAATATGAGGAAAACAACCCAAAAAGCCAGAGGAGCAAGGAGACGTTCTTCCCACTTTCCCCCTTTTTTTTTTTTTTTTTGAGACGGAGTTTCGCTTTTGTGGCCCAGGCTGGAGTGCAATGGCATGATCTCGGCTCACTGCATCCTCCACCTCGTGGCTTCAAGTGATTCTCCTGCCTCAGCCTCCCAAGTAGCTGGGATTACAGGTGCCTGCCACTACACCAACCTAATTTTTATATTTTTAGTAGAGACGGGGTTTCACCATGTTGGCCAGGTTGGTCTCGAACTCCCGACCTCAGGTGATCTACCTGCCTTGGCCTCCCAAAGTGCTGGGATTACAGGCGTGAGCCACTGCGCCCGGCCCAGCCCCATTTTCTCCTTTCTTTCCTAAAGCTCTTGCATTGTCAGGAAGTCAAGGAACTGAGTGGGCTCAGTGGCCAGCCCTGGGCAGAACTGGGTCTGGAATCTCCGCCCAGTGATACCCCCGCTTCATGTGTGCAGAGCAGAGCTGGGGTAGATGACACTAAGAACACCATGACCTTGGCTGGGCGTGGCAGCTCATGCCTGTAATCCCTGTGCTTTGGGAAGCTGAAGCAGGAGGATCCCTTGAGCCCAGGAGTTCGAGACCAGCCTGGATGACATAGTGAGACTCCGTTCCCCCTCAACAAAAATAAAGAACAGCAGGTCTCCATGCCCCTCTGGACCTGTGGTCCCTGCTCCAGCCCATACCTCTCATTGTTTCCTATAGGGTCTGGGAGAGGGGCACAGTCAGCCTGGCCCACACCAGGAGGCTGGTGGTCTTTGAACCTTAGAGAAAGTGAGGGTCTTGGACCCCACCTGGGTCTCCAGAGTCCTGATGCAGCCTCTGGAATATAAGAGTCAAAGGTTCACCAGAGCACTCTGAAAGTAATATGAGTTTCTGAAAGAAAGGTCATCTTTTTTAGAATAACTGGGGATTTTCCACCTTGCTGGGGAGCTTAGGAAATTCCACGCTCAGGAAAGGCATCCTTCCATTCCCCTCAACTGTCCAGATCAGTGGTGCTCAGTGTGGGCCTCAGCGTCACCTGGGAACTCCAGGGACACACATCCTCAGGTCTCGCCCAGCCCATGAGTTAGTTGGAGGCTGGAGGTGGGGCCCGGCGGCCTGCAGCACAGCAAGCCCACCCACAACGCTGATGCCCCGTATGTGACTGACGTGGCCGTCAGGCTCGCCTCAGCCCCATGACCAGCACCGTGGCTCTTCAGAGGCACTGTCTCTGCCCACATCCATTCCTGAGGATAGCAGTGCTAGGCTTCTGCAGTCACCCATCAAACTCTGGTTTCTCTGCTGGAAAACTAAGCTTTCCACAGCCACAGACAGTGCATCACAGACCCCTGATGCCCTCCTTGGTTCCGGAGCAAGCCACTGTGAACACAGCACACCCTGGCTTCATTTATGCTCTGACAGTGCAGCTGTCTGCAGAAGCAGGAAGGAAAGGAAGCAACGGGTCACAGCAGCTCCTGAACTGGAAAGGCAGTGGGGACCGATCAAGAAAAATGTGACCCAAGTAACTCAGACCTGAAATAACTACAAAACAAACAACTGCAGACAAACTTCCAAATCCGGTCCTTGGCTTGTGACACACATAGTTTGGCAATGCTAGAGGCCAGGAGCAAGGTGCATGTTCAGACCGGCCCACGGCCCAGGAATTAGCACTGGCATGAGAATTCACGGCACAGACCAAGACGGCCCCAGTCCCTGCACCGGTAGTCAGGGCTCACCAGGGCATGGTGGTGGTGGCGGCGGTGGTGGTGACGGCAGCTGCCAGGGAAGGAATGTTTTCCTTTTGTGACAGTGCTTTGTAGGAAAGGTGTGTTTACACATCAGTAACTGGCCGAGGCTCAGGAGCTGGCATAAAATGGGAACAAATTCAAATCACTGCCTCTATTAGGGACATTTCAAGCGTTTTCCTCGTAACTGCCGTACCAAGTAGGAGCAGGCTGGTCCTCAAATCCCACCCTTAGGTGCCCACTGCCCTGTGGCCCTTTGAATGGTGTCAGGAGACAGTGATGCTGCCATTTGCACTAGGCTCACAGACAGCCAAGCCAAGAGTGGATGGGCCCTTCTGGAGCAGGGGCTGTTTAAGTCGCCTTCTAGTTTGGCGGTGGGGGTGGGCAAAGGAAAGAGTGGGACATGGGCAGCCTTCGCTGAGGAGACAGGGTCCTGGACTTGGAGAAGAGGAGCTGAACTCTTCCTCCTTTATCAAATGGACATGCCTGTTTATAAAATGGGTGTGTCATGTGCCCCGCCAATCTCAAGGTCAGAAGAGCTCAGGTAGGTGAAATTTCTTCACAGCCATAACAGGGCATTATTCAGCAGCTGGAGTGGCCGAGGGGACTGAAGATGGCTTCTCCACTCTCCTGCTGCCTCTCCTGCATCTCTGGTCAATGTGCACGGCCTTTGGGCCTCCACGCTTGCTGTCTGTGTTTCAGGCCCTCTTCCCTTGGCTCTACTTGTGTGGGTTACTCATTCCTTCAGGACTCTGCCCAGAGAACACTTCCCTAGGAAGGCCTCCCTTGACCCTGTCACTCTTTACCTCCTTATTTTTCTTGACCCAACACGCCATGACATGTCATTATAATACGATCCGCTTGTGGACCTCCTGCAGGGCTTCCTCCTAGAACATAAGCGCCCAACTTGTCTTGCTGTTGAGTCTCTAGTGCTGAGAGTGCCTGGTACATGTGGGTTCTCAGTCAGTATCTGCTGAGTGAGAGGAAGTGGGCAGTCCTGGCCATACCCAAGTCTCTTTCAGGTCCCCGTCCCAGTGTGGTATATGGACACAGCCCTCCCAACGGACCCAGGGAGGGAGCTGCAGAGGTCCACCCAGTCAGGGAGCCTTGCTGCCCACAACGATGACAGTGATGACAGGAGCGGACGCCCCAAGAGCTGACCCTCGCCAGGCTCTGTTCTCAGTGCTTTACGTTGCTCATCCGACTTTATCTTCAACATGAGCCTATGCCACTCGGACTGGCACTACCTGTGCTTCTCAGGTGAGGGAATGGAGGCTGAGCTAAGTCGGCTGTCCAGAGTCGTGCAGGGAGTGCTGAAGCTATTGATCAACCTTCGTCAAGTGCTTGCTGCTCTGGGGTGGGAGAGTCAAGGCCTTGGAGAAAGAACCTCAAGGAATGGTCTCCATCTCTCCCGGTTGCTCGTCGCCTCCTTCCTGGGACATGGCCTGTGGCAGGGGCTCTGGACACTCCTTTATTCCAGACCTGCCTGTGTCTCTAGGCTCCTGGGCCTAGTTCCTCCTTGTTTCAAACAAGAACTCCCCAGCCAAGAAACCTCCCCAAGGGCCCTGGCTGTTTCCCAGCACCTGCTGGCCCCCACTTCCCACGGGCCTCCCAGTGCCCTTTGTCATGACAGAATTATCTGGGGTATTTTTGGCCTTACACTTTAACCCATGCTGTTCAAACACACAACAGCTTCCATTCTTGTTGCCACTGGAGCGCCCGTCCCAGCAGGACAGGGAGTTTTGTTTCTGCAGGAGGGAACGTGCTTCCCTTTCCCTCTGGACAGCCTGAGCCGGCGGCCAGGATTATGAAGCAGTGGAGGTATCTGATGGCAGAAGCTTCCACCAGCTGCAGTACTGCCCTGACTGGAGTCCCAGGAGAGTCTTGCCCTAACACCCACATCCAGAGTGGGGTGGTGTGAGCTCTGTGCGAAGTGGGATCTGACTGGTGAGGGGTGACTGTGAGGGGTAACTCAGGCTGCTTCTCAGGACACTGGGCACATGTCCTCTGAGTACAGTGACATCAGAGCCCTTGGAGGCCTGAGGGAGGAGGGTGCCCACCTCTGCCCCACCTTACCAAGCCAGTGGTGCGGGTGGAAAGTCACCTACCCAGGTCAGCGTCGGTGCTCTTCTTCATGTCTTTCTGCAGCTTCCGGGTCTGCTCTTCCAGCCTGCAAGGCAGGGGACAGGCTGCTTGGGGTCTCCTTCCTTCCCCCTACCTGAGCGAAGTCCAGGTGCTCTGGAGGGCCTGCCATGGAGGAGGAGAAGGGGATCTTCTCCGTGGGGACTTTTCCCACTCACAGAAGTGCCACTACACCCAAAAGTTACAAGTGAACGACTCTTGCGCGGCCATTGCTGGGGAACAGTTCTGGCAGCCTGGTGACCCGAACTGCCCTCAGCTTCCAGGGTACTCACGGGGCAAAGGGGCAGCCCAGGGAAGGGCACTGGGCAGACAACTGAGACCTGGCAGGGGGCCCTTGTCCCTCCCTACCTCCCACCTCATCTTTCTGGGGTTGACACTCACTGCTGAAGTTTTCCATACTCCCTTTCAAAGTCTCTCTCCACCTGCAACGAGAGAGATAACTCAATTATTGGAGAAATGACAACACGGTGGAAAAAACCTTCCAGCCTCCTGAAACTCTCTCCACACCCAGCCCCAGTCCGCAGAAAACAACACGGTCCGGTTCACACAAGCACTGACAGATCGCTCCTGACACGATATTCCTGTGTTCCCAAGTTAATTAAGTGTTTGATTTACGGAGGAAGGCTCCCCTCCCAGAAGGGCCAGCCAGGCAGGTGCCAGCGGACCGTGGATCTGCTCTTCCCAGCCTGGGGCAAGGCACTCGCTGCGTGCCCTCCTCACCCCAGGCTGGAGGTGGTCACGGTGCTCAGAACATGACTTGACTCCATCCAGGGAGGCAGCAGGGTGCAGAGGATTGGGTGGGTCTGGAGTTGGAGGCTGTCTCTGCCTTTTCCTAGTTTCCGGGTCCATGCAGGGCACCTCCCCTCCTACCCTGCCCTCCACTCAGGACCCCCTGCCCCTGCTGGGCTCAGGGTGGGTCAGGACCAATCATGCACTTGTGCTTTGTGATTGGGATGCATCAAACACAGACACTATGACTACTGACTCAGGCCAGGCTCTCTCCACTCCTGACTGGATATCAACTCTCTCGAGAGCCAGCAACACTGAAACCAAATGGGTGAGTTCTGAACCCGGGGTTGCACTTGTTGCGGAAGATAAAGTCTAGTACTTTCTTCTGGTGCCTAGACTTCACTATTTGTAAAATGGAGCCTCATGATTGGTCTCTTATGGGCGTAGAATGGGAAGTAAACGACATCGAGAGGCAAAGGAGACTAAGCTAGAGGCCAGTCCTTCCTGCTCTCCCTGGCCAGAGCTGCAGCTGTCAGGGGCCAGCTTCAGGCTTCGTGCTCTGAGAAGTCAAAACCGCTAACTCACTGTCACAGAGCCCTCACTGTGTGCTTTACAAGAATGGAGTTCTCTGAACTCATCTCCAAGGCAGGTGTGACTATCAGACGATAGTACTGAGGAGGTCACTGGGAACCAGGTTATGTACCCTGGCCAAGGTCACCCCATTGATGAGGGGTAGGGTTGAGCACAGTGGGAATGGAACCCAGGCAGCCTGGTTCCACAGCCTGTATTCATAACCATCATTCTCCTGGAAGGCATTTGCTGATAAATGAAAGCCCTGACCTAAGAAAGAAGTCTTCCTGGCTGCTCCCCGGGAATCCTGTCCCCAAGAGCCCTTGAGGGCTCTGAGGGTCAGGGAGTGCGTATCTGCAGAAACTGTCAAAGCCACGCTATTCCCACCACTGCCTTCCAGCAACGCTGACCTGATGAGAGTATTCTAAGCCCATCAACCTTAGCATTCCACGTTTGGATTTAGATTAATTCAACATAGCCCTGGAATGACAAAACAGCATTCACGTTACAAACGAGGAGCCCGAAGCCCAGAGGCAGGAGTAACTTCCCTAAGGACGCAGGACATTCCGGTGGCAATGCAAGGCTAGAATCCAGAGTCCTGGTTCAGGTCTTTTTGTTTCAAATTTCAACAACATTCATTCCTACGGACATGTATTGAGCACCTATTAAGTGCGATGCATTCTGCCAGGTTCTGGGGATACCCTGGTGATTCAAACAGACATGGGCCCTGGTGGTGGAGATAAACAACAGCCAGATACAAATCTACATGCTGACTATGATGGGCCTTTTGGACAGCAAGGATGAGGCCAGAGAGAGTTAGAGAGTCTGCTTAGCTCTGGCTCTCCAGGCACAACAGACTCCTTGCATAGAGATAGCTTACCTTCCTCATTTCAACTGTAAAATCCAGAAGCAGGAAAAAAGGCTCTTTTCCCTACTTTATGATCCTAGCATCTAGAATCTTCCACAAAACTGTGACGTACAATCCACCATTGGTGCCCCCGCCTCCCATCCTACAATCTTTCTTCCTCTTTTCAACAGACTCTTTCTCCATCCAGGAACCCAATATTTTTATCATTACTTTCCTTAGGATCTAGCAAAAGCTACTCATAAGAAAAAAATTCAAAATTCACTCCCACTAGTGCACAAATGCTTGATGAGCGTTTAAAGTGCTGCCTGTCCCAGAGGATTTGCAAGTTTGCAGGAACCAAAGTCTTAGTTAGCTAAAGGAACGGAAAGGCTCATGGTGTGACTGCAGGTGGGAAATTTGCTTTGGTGTGAAGGAGCTTTGCCGGGGCCCTTGAAAGTCTGTACTTTGGTGTCAGCCTAGTTTTCTGGAGCAGGGCTAGAAGAATGCAGTTTAGAGGCATGAGCAGAGACAGGTAAGATATGAACTCTGATACTAGCTGTGGAGCCCTGACAGTACTGAGCATTTTTTTTTTTTTCTTTTTTTTTTTTTTTGAGACAGAGTTTTGCTCTGTTGCCCAGGCTGGAATGCAGTGGTGGCATCATGGCTCACTGCAGCCTTGACCTTCTAGGCTCAAGCAGTACTCCTGTCTCAGCCTCCTGCATAGCTGGGACTATAGGCATATGCCATTATGCCTGGCTAATTTTTAAAAAATTTTTGTGGAGACGGGATTTTGCTATGTTGCCTAGGCTGGTCTTGAACTTCTGGCCTCAAGTGATCCTCTTGCATTGGCCTCCCAAAGTGCTGGGATTACAGGTGTAAGCCACCTCACCCAGCCAACTTTAGGTGGCTTACAAGGAAATAGCTGATAATAATATCTACCTTAGTGGTTCCTTTTGAGGATTAAGAGGCAGTGCGTGCAGAACAGACTGCAAGGCGCCTGGCCCACGGCAGTGCTCACTAAATGTTAGTTTCTGTGTTTTTCTCCTGCTCACTGGGGTGTTGGGAAGACCAGAGCAATCTGGGGCTGAAGGCTGGGCTATAAACCTGTTTGCAGAGAGGAGAAGCTGCTCCAAGTACACAGGAAACCGGCAGCCAGGGAAACTCTGATGTTGGCTAAGGGTGGAGCCCCATGCTTGGGTGCTGTGACAGTGCTCTGGCTCCCTTTACTAGACACACATTTTTTAATTTTTTTATTTTTTTGAGACGGAGTTCCACTCTTGTCACCCAGGTTGGAGTGCAATAGTACGATCTCAGCTCACCGCAACCTCTGCCGCCCGGGTTCAAGGGATTCTCCTGCCTCAGCCTCCCAAGTAGCTGGGATTACAGGCATGCGCCACCATGCCCAGCTAATCTTTGTGTTTTTAGTAGAGACGGGGTTTTGCCATGTTGGTCAGGCTGGCCTCGAACGCCTGACTTCAGGTGATCATCCCCCGTGCCTCGGTCTCTCAAAGTGCTGGGATTACAGGTGTGAGCCACTGTGCCCAGCCTGCTAGACACAGCCTTCTTTTTTTTTTTTTAGACAGTCTCACTCTGTCATTCAGACTGGAGTACGGTGACACAACCTCTGCTCACTGCAACCTCTGCCTCCCAGGCCCATGCAATTCTCATGCCTCAGCCTCCTGAGTAGCTGGGACTATAGGAGTGAGCCACCACACCCGGCTAATTTTTGAATTTTTTTTTTTTTGGTAGAGATGGGGTCACCATGTTACCTGGGCTGGTCTTGAACTCCTGGCCTCAAGTGATCTGCCTGCCTTGGCCTCCCAAAGTGCTGGGATTACAGGCATGAGTCACCGCACCTGGCCCACATCTTTCTTCTAACTTTGCAGGATATGATAGCTGAGCAGCATCTTTACTTACTAAAAGTATTTATTTCCAGAAAGAGAAAATTAAAACTAAGCACTACTTGGCTCAAACCAAACTCTCCTAGAGATCCAGAACACACAGGGGGTGCTCTTTGGGAGGGGTGCTGAGTGTCAGCTGTACCCTGGGGCCCCAGCCTTTGGCTCCCTTCCTCTCTTTTGCAGTCCCCCAAGTGTGCCGATGTGTGTGGGATGTCAGAGAACACCTGGTCTCCCTGGCTGGGGACTGTTTGGACTTGTATCGGGAGGGACTTCAGGTTTTCAGCTAGGTTGGATCATTCTGGAAGCTGAGGAACTCGAGGTCTCACAATGAAGCCGAGGAGCAGGCTGGGGGCGGGAGTGCGTTTTCTACTTGGTGCCGCTCAAGGCCATCTGACAGCCTGAGAGGAGTTCGGACACATTTCACCTCCCTGCTTCCAGCGGCCGGGGTGTGTTGCTTCTCTAGCTCACTGGTCCGAGAGCTCTCTCCTTCACTGGGGAAAGATGCACGGGGACACTGCCAGAATTCTAGCCTCTCAGATAATGGCTAAGGGACCAAAGGGACACACTGGAGCCTCATTCTGAGGAAAAGAGCCAGACAGAAAAGATCTGAACATCTTTGAATGCTTGATGCCTTTGCCAAAAAGGCAATTGGACCCCAGTCAACAATGCAAGTATAAACACATGTGCATGGACCGTCAGGGGATCAGGGCAAGCTGGGCCAGGCTGGCGAGATTAGTGCAGGGAGAACCAAGCCCCAGACACTACCTTTGGCCACTCCCTGCATTCATTCTCCAAGGCCCACGGTGGGAGGAAGGGGTTTTGCTGTTCCCTGCTCTATTGGCAGTGCACAGGTCACGCCCTGGCACAGAGTGGGAACTCAGTATTAAGTGAATGAACAGGCTGAGTTCCCACCCAAACTTATGCTCATGGTGAAGTGAAAAAGGAAACTGGCAGGCAGGGCTGGGGCTCTGATCCCAGGGCTGAGGTGCATCTGATCGGAGTCTGAGAAGCCCAGAATCCTCAGCACTCTGGGAAGCCCCCTCCTTCAAGGGATGCTCTGGGTGGAAAGTGGGCTCCCTGTAGGTGTGTTCTAGCAGGATTAATGAGGCTAAGGGCCCTGTCGCCTGGCAGGTGAAAATCCTTCTCCAGTGGCGAGGCTGCATGTGGCCAGACTCTCTTCGCCCTAACTTTGCAGAGCACCCACCTGGCTAGGAACCTTGGAGTGCATGTTCCTTGTGTGCAAGACTCACAGTAACCCTTGCTTCAGGGGGACATGAAGAGCAAAGCTTTGAAGAGCTCTTCCATCTTCCCAGGTTATGCAGGAAGGTGCGGTGGCTTTTTTCTATGCTAAGATGCTCCAGTCACTTTATGGGACCTGGGGAGCGGGAGGGGACTGGGTGGAAGGTGAGGATAGGGACTGGGGGAGCTTTCGTTCCTCCACCTCAGTTCTAATGGTCAGCCCCAGCAGCAACAAGTCATTCTAGCCAAAGCCTTGACAATAATGGAATTTGTGTTAATAACCTGGGCACAGGAGAACAGTGAGGGTAGGGACACAATGCTGTCTTTGTGCCTGACAGTTGGGTGCCCTGAGCCAAAAACCTCCTGAAACTCCCTGAAGATAACATGAGCATTTCTTCCCATGACAGGGGCTCCATGACTTCCAATAACCCAGGCAGCCACAGCTGCTCCCCTCCCTGAAAGTGCCTGGGCAAGAACAACAGAGTGCGTCACTGCTGTCCGAGGGCAGCTGCCAGAGATGCTGAGACAGCCACACAGCCCAGGCCTGTTTTGGGGGCCGGGAGGGGGTGGTGGGTGGGGAACCAGACTGAAGAGGCAGGGTCTTGCTACTTCTACTTTAGTGCCTCTGGGGAGTGGAGGGGTATAGGCCAGGGAAGCAAATAACTACTCCAAGTTGTAGCTCAGCTGTGATTCCTTGTGAGAGATCAAAGGCCTAGCCGACTTCGTTGCATTGGGAAATCTAGCTGCCTGGGACAGGCTGAGTCCCTGATGGTTCATAAAGAGGATCAAATCAACCAGCTTCCTGTGATGGAGTTAATATTAACTGGGGACTTATTTTGTGCCAGACACTGTGTTAGGTGCCTTCAATGTATTACCTTGTGTGAGCCTCAAAGTAACATCTGTGACACAGGTACTGTCATCATCCTCATTTTACAAATGAGAAAACAAAGGCTCCAGAGGTTAATGAACTTGCCCAAGGTCACAGACAGCATGTGGTAGAGCCAGGATGTGGACCCAGGGCGCCAGCCTCCCAAACCTGGCTTCTTTAACTTCTACCTGACCCCAAGTCTATTAGAGAGCAGGTGCCATAATCAGAGACCACAATTCCATCTCCAGCAAGACAGATGTGAGAAAGGGAAGAGGGACGCCCTGCGGGCATCTGCCCTCACTGCGACTCCTTGCCACTCCTTAGATGAAGGGAGCCAGAGATCTTGCCACCAACACACTGGCAAAGCAGCTGGTTTGCCTACACTTTCTGTGGAGAACAAAGTTCATTTTGATAAAGATTGGGGTGCTGGGAAGGTTTTTGTTTGTAGTGAGCATTCAGAATAAAAGGCCCCTCTTGAAACCACTTCTCTTTCAGATCTGTCATGGATTAAACTCTGGAGACTCAAAGCCACACCTTCCCACTTCCTGCAGCCGGCTAGAGCCCAACATATGCACACCCAGATTCTTTGGACTTCAGCTGAGAGCCTCCACAGATGGTCAGCCTCTGCATGAGAGGTCATCGCTGAGTTGGTCAGCAATCTGCCTCTGCATGAAGCAGAGGGCCCCCTCCCCAGCTTTTTTTTTTTTTTTTTTTTTAACAGACAGGGTCTCAGTCTATTACCTAGGGTGGAGTGCAGTGGTGCAATCAGAGCTCACTGTGGCCTTGAACTCCTGCGCTCAAGCAATCCTCCTGCTTTAGCCTCCCAAGTAGCTGGGACTACAGGCGTGCATTTTTTCTTGTAGAGTTGGGGTCTCTCTTTGTTGCCCAGGCTGGTCTCAAAATTCTTGCTTGAAATGATCCCCCTACCTGGGCCTTCCAAAGTGTTGGGATTACAGGCATAAGCCACTGTACCCTGTGAGGGTGCTTTTAACTTGGGCCTGCTCCTCTCAAGTGATCTTACTATGGATTTGCTAGAGATGGAGCCATTGGTCAGATGTGTGCCAAACTTCTCACCAGACTGAAGCAATCTCTTTCCTATGCTTTTGAGAGCTCTGCCAAGGAGGGGAGAAGCTAGTAAGACAAGAACTGTCAGGGGCTGCGATGACAGACGAGGGCCTCTGCCACCAGCACAGCACCGGACTTTCTGTAGCTGTCACATCAGAGAGGCTCTACAGTTGTGGTCTCCCATGTTAAAACCAAGAGACCCACTCAGATTTGTGGGTCAGGAGGTTGAAAAGGCTATTTTGCACTGGGATTCCAAAACAATGGGAGGGCCTCACAGCCTAGGCAAGCATCAGGCAATGGAAAGAGTATCGGCCAGGGGCTGACGCCTGAGTTCTAACTCCAGCTTTGCCAGTGTGGGGTTTTCATAACTTGAGAAAGTCGCTGCAACTTTCCACGGGCCTCATTTTCTTCATCAAGAAAAATCAGGAGGTTGGACTAGATGATCTCTACGAGCTTCCAGCTCTAACTTCCTAAGAATCTATGATTCTCTTCCTTTCCCATTCTGGAGATAAGAACATTCTAGGGATAAAAACTGTGGGCTTGGCCGGGCACGGTGGCTCAAGCCTGTAATCCCAGCACTTTGGGAGGCTGAGACGGGCGGATCACGAGGTCAAGAGATCGAGACCATCCTGGCTAACACAGTGAAACCCCGTCTCTACTAAAAAAATACAAAAAACTAGTCGGGCGAGGTGGCGGGCGCCTGTAGTCCCAGCTACTTGGTAGGCTGAGGCAGGAGAATGGTGTGAACCCAGGAGGCGGAGCTTGCAGTGAGCTGAGATCCTGCCACTGCACTCCAGCCTGGGTGACAGAGCGAGACTCCATCTCAAAAAAAAAAACAAAAAAAACTGTGGGCTTACAGAGGGGTAGGATTCAACCTTCCCTTCCTGCTGAGTGACTGGGTCATGGCCAAGAATGCATTTGGCAGTTGGGACAAACATGCTGAGGCCACTGGGAAAAGCTTCCTGGACTTTTCAGCAGCTGAGGTAACAGAAATAAACGCCTGGGCAATATCTTTGGTGGGGGCCTCTGTTTCAGGAACTCTCTCAGGAAAAGTGTAGACCGCAAGCCAGTCCCTAGAGGCGGACTGTTCTAAAGCAGTATCTTTCTCTACATTTTTGTAATCCACCTCTTCCACCTGCCCAAGGACGATAAAGAGCCCAGGCTAACCTTTCCTAGGGGAAATGTCCCAGGACAGGAGGCCTCCCTAAGCCCCAGTCTGTGTGAGGTTCTAGATCCGCATAAGCGGGAATAAGGCCCAGGTTGCCGTCTTCCCAGCCCCAAGATGTGTTGATTCAAAGCTTTGGTTCTATGCAAAGGCCATGTGATACAGAACGGAATCTCACAGCACAACAATCGAGTTACTCACTGTTTTGGGCACAATCTGTTTCTTGGGCTGCCCAATCTTAAAAGGAATCCTATAAAAGAAAGAGACAAAGAGGGATATTGTGAGAAGTGGGGAAGGATGCAGTTGAAAGTATCAGTACAGTACAGGCCACTTTCCTCCAGGAGGGTGAGGAAGCCTGGCCATGGCTTGCTACTTGCTACTTGGACCACGTGCCCTGGTGGGCATACAACCATGGCATCTGGGCTTGGTTAGAGAGAGGTCCTCCCACCTACAGTGTCAGACGCAGGTTGTTCTGCCCCAGAACATCTTTGCTACTGATAGTCTGTCATTTAAAGACAATGAAAAGGTGAGGGCAAGGAGTTTGAGGCTGTAGTGAGCTATAATTGCACCACTGTACTCTAGCCTAAGCGACAGAGCAAGATCCTATCTCAAAAAAAAAAAAAAAAAATCAGTTTGGTATGGCAGCTCATACCTGTAATCCCAGCACTTTGGGAGGCCCAGGTGGAGGACTGCTTGAACCAGGAGTTCAAGACTAGACTGGGCAACATAGCAAGATCCTATCTCAAAACAACCACCACCACCACCACCAAAAATCAGCCAGGTGTGGTGGCACACGCCTGTAGTCCCAGTCACTTGAGAGGCTGAAACAGTAGGATCACTTAAGCCCAGGAGTTCGAGGCTGGAATGAATTATGATCATACCACTGCACCCTAGCCTGGGCAACAGAAGGAGACCCTGTCTCTTAAAGAGATAAAGGAAGGGAACAGAAGGGAAGAAAGAGGAGGGGAGGGGGAGGAAAGGAAAGGTGAGAAGGGCAGGAAAGGGGAGATATCCTGTGAATAACAATAAGACCTTGTGTCTTGAGGAGTTGCAAACTCAGAAATTACAGACTCACTGCAGACTCACTATAATAGCTCTCCTTGAAATCACGAACCACTATGGTCTATATTAGATCCTTCACTGCTTCTCTATAGAGAGGCAAACTGTGGATCTGCAAGTCTTCTTGGGAGGCTGGGGAGAGGCAATAAATAACAGAGGCATTAATGATTGGCCAGGCTGGATTATTTCCCTGGGAAAACTCACAAAATCAAAAAGCTGCTAGCTTGGAAAAGAATCTGAAATCCAGCCCAAGTCTGCCTTGGACTTGCTCTGAAGAGCTGCACCTCAGATTCCCTACTTTACAGCATGGCACAGCAGAAGGAGGATCATGGGTCTAGGAGTCTCAACCTGAGGATTAGCCTGGCCTCTGCTTCCACTGAGCAGGCTGCCCTTTGGCAGGTGACGGCTGCACTGGGCACTGGGACTCCATTTCCTGCTCCATAAAATGAATAGATTAAAGTAGGTAATTTAGGAGCTTCCTTGAGGCACTGAGCATTCTATGATTCTCTGATTCCAGGAAGAAAAGCAGCCAGGCTAGAAAGTGCATCCCAGTGGCTACGGAAAGGGTAGGCTCTTAACTACAGGTAGGAAGTGAGTCAAGAACCCCTGGGATCAGCTCTGGCAGAGGGCTCTCAGCCAGCCATGCTCATCCCTCTCCTTTTGGCTCTTCCATTCAAACCTCCCGCTTCCACAATGCACCAGACCTGCTCCACAAGGCCCAGGACCCACCCTTCCCTCCACAACCCCTTCTTCCTGAGCCTGCTTTCCTTTGGCCCAAACTGACCAACACACTGTTGCTAAACCCAAGAGTGTAATTAACTACCGATAATAACCCCAAGCAGTGATCCAGTGGAGGGGATGGGCCAGCCTGAGTCACAGCGGTTTAAATTTAATTTCTGGAGGACATCCTGTTTATTGTTAACCCAGCCCCATAATTTGGGAGTGTTAACCCTTTAGGGGCTGGCTGATTAGCATCTTCTGTAAACAAATAATTTCTGGCTACATAATAACCAGGGAGGAAAGGTAAGGTCTGGAAATGAAAGGGAAAGAAAAAATGAAATTGTTTCCTTTCTCAGACCTAAAGAGGAAAGGTTCACAGGGAGATGGGTCCCTTCCCCGCACCCTGGTTACTTTTCCCATTCTCAGGGATTAGAGCTGACAGACATGATGGTTTTTGGACAGCGAGCAATTGCCCTCAAGGACCATTCTGGAGACAGTGCAAATGAGGTCCTGGTGGCAAAGACCACTCTGGAGACATTGCAAATGAGGTCCTGGTGGCATTGTAAAAAGACAGCCCGTATTCTGTGGGAAGCACGCTGCAGGTGAAAGCGCTCTAGACCTGATATCAGAAAACCTGCCCTCTGCCTTCGACTCATTTTGTGATTTGAACAAATCTCAATCTCTCTGGAGCCCAGTTTCTTAAACTATGAAACAAAGCAGTTGGAATCCCTTCAGCTCATCTAAAACTGGAATTCTAAACTGAATCTCCACTCCAAGAATATGGGGAGTAGGATGGGAATTCTAAAGAAGTCTCAGAGTGGTCTTCAAAACGATTCTTGGAGTTTAGTACTGTAGACAAGGGACCAAGAAATCAGAAACGTAGATTCCATTATTTGTGGTGCTACAGCCTCCCTCTAAACCTTAATTTAGTATCATGGTATTTTTAGAACTGTAAGTTACCATAGAAATTTTTTCCCCAGTTCAACCCTCTCCTTTTGTAGATGAGGAAGCAGATCCAGAGAGGTTCAGTGACAAGCCCAGGGTCACTGTGCTGGCTCACAAGAGAACCAGGAATAAACAACCAGGACCCCTGCTGTCCAGCCCAGTTTTCTCTCTGCTACCCACAGTTCAATACTCTTTTCATATGAATTTGTTATAAGTATGTAATGAAAATACCTAGTCTTAAAGTCCTGTGGAATTCCAAAGGGCTGATTGTTCTTAAGGATCTGGAAATGAACGGGAGGAAGTTTGTGCTGAACTGGGTGCTCTGGCACAATAAGGGGTTATGTACACCAAGCAGACGGAACAGGTCACCACAGTTACTGACGATCACAGAGACCTATCATACTGTTCTAATTATTTTTCAACTCACCTGGTCAAAAGCCCTATGAGAATACTTTAAAAAAAATCCTTCACATTGAAAAAGTTTTAGATTTAAAGAAAAATTGTGAAGGAAGTATGTAATTCCTATGTCGCCCACCCTCAGTTTCCCTTTTTATTTACATCTGATATTGGTGTGGTACATTGGTCACAATCAGTGAACCAACAGAAACAGGGTCAAGACTATCCTTTCTTTAGACCTCCTCAGTTTTCTCCATGTCGTTTCTCAGTTCCAGCATCCCACCCAGGTCACCACGTCACATTCAGTCGCTATGTGCCCCAAGGCTCTGCTTGGCTGTGACAGTTTCTAAATCTCTCCCTGCTTTTGATGACCATGTCAGTTTTAAGGAGTGCTGGTCAGATATTTATAGAATGCCAACTTGGATTTGTCTGATGCTTTTCTCCTGACTAGACTGGAGTTACGGCTTTCGGGGTAGAAGATCACAGAGCAGAAGAGTCATCCTCACTACAACATGCCCAGGGTCCACGATGTCAACATGCCTTACCCTGCTGATGTGAACCTTGATCACCAGGCTGATCAGGGTCATCTTCAGGGTCATCTTTCCCAGCTTCCTACTGTGAAGTTACTCCCCCTTCTCCCTTTCCCTACTGCACTCCTTGGGAGGAAGGCATCATGCAGAGTCCTATTTCTTATTTATTCAACCATTCAATATCAGTATGAACTCATAGATCTTTATCCTATATTTTGGGTTATAATCCAATACATTATTTTGATGCTCAAACTGTTCCAGCTTTCACCACTGGCAGCTCTTTCAGTTGGCCTGTGTCCCTTTGACATATCCACATCAACATATGTATGTATGTATGTATGTACGTATGTGTGTGTGTTTAGTATTTCCTTACTTTCTGGCACTACAACATGTACCAAGTGCATCTTGTACATTTCCTGCCTCAGCCCTAGAATCAGTGGAGGAACTTACATTAGTATTCAATGGGCTTCTGTAATATGGTCTCAACTTTACTTTTAATTTCTTTCCTATTCACTCAGTACAACTGCCATGATTCAGCCAAGTGGTTGTTCATTAATCCCCCAGATCTAGACTCCTTATAATTTCCTGTCTCAAACTGGGACATTTTGGAGTACACATCATCAGAACAACTTGGACTGCCCAGGGCAACCAGGACAAATGGCTACCCCACCTATATGGAATGCTTTCTCTGCTCCCAGGAAAACTTCTTGCCTTCTTCTAAATGTCTAAGACTTATTTGGCATTTAAAAAATTCTGCCCTTCACAGTTAATTACAGTTCATCTCCTCAAAAAAGTATTCACATGAGAAACAGTAACTTTAAAACAATTATTATAGAAAAACATGCTCATTGCAGAAAACTTGAGAAATAAAAGGGGATGGGGTGGGTGGGGGGGATAAGGGAGGAAAAGAAGAGGGAGAAAAACCCAGCCATGATTTCAGATCTAAAATATGGCCAAGGTTAATGTTTTAGTGTTGTTATTTATATTTTTTAAATTTACAGAAAGAAAAACCAAAGCAAATATGCCAAATGTTGGTAGTGGCTAATTCTGGGTGGTGAGAATAAGATTACTGTTTTCTTCTTTGCACTTTCCACATTTTTTTTCAAATAAACCAAAAAAACCCTGTTTTTTTTCTTGACTACAAAAATAGCACCTGATCAGTGTTAAAAACTTGGAAGACACAGAAAAACGCAAAGGAAAAAATGCATGCACACACACACACACACAACCCCAAAGGAAAACATTAACAGTAATACCCTGAATCACAGTGTGTACATATGTGTGCATGTGTATATGTAAATATTTATGTAAGTTTTAAATTAAAAAGTGAAAGAAATATATATCACGAATGGTTTTATGGGAATATATTTTTTCACTCTCCTGATTTTTAAGAGCTACAGAAGTAAAATGCATGGTTCAGGTACACAATGGAAGTGTACCGCTCATTTTATTTCTGTAACCTCATCACTTACTGCTGGTCATTTCAACTGTTTCAAATTTTTCTTCTGTTATGAACAAAAACTCTAATAGCTAAATCTTGGTGTGCACCAAGAGTCATACAGGATCAATTCGGTATATAACAAACTGCCCTAGAGACAGA